CAATACTAACTTTGTAATGTACTTAATTTCACAGTTACACACACTATAGTTCCCAACAATTCGCTCACTTTCTATCGCGCTTAGACTTAATGGTCGGTCCCCGCAAACTATAGTTCCGATCTCTGTGTCTGCTATCCTCAGTTCCCGCAAACCGTAATCGCTGTCTTTCTTTCTCTCTGTCTCCACTACTGCTTCGACTCCGTCTGTCTCTCTCACTATCCAGCGCACTTATATACGATAATACTGCCTGTTCTAGAAACTTCTAAGACTCTCAACACGTGCTACCAGCGTCACTTGACTTCCGCTGTCGTCACGTGACCCCCGCTGTCGTAACAGTTTGTTTTCAAATAGTAATGAAATTAATTAATTAAAGAGAAACCCTTTCGTGTTTTTCAAAACATGTTAAGTATGGCGTACTTTTCTTTTTCAGTAATGAAAATGTTTAATGAATAAGTCGTGTTCCTTTTCTCTAAAAATTCAATTTTTAATTTCTAAGTAGTAATAATGGTATACTTTGTACCATTAAATTTCAGTTTTATATATATTTTAAGCTTCTCGTGTATTCTCAAGCAAATAATGTTCTAAAGCTTTTATTGTATGCTTACACTTATAGAGAGCGCTACACGAGAGACTGACGGTTAAGTTCATTTACTAAACTGAGTTAACGAGGATAGAAGGAGGTGTGGAAGGAGTTAAGTCTTTAAATAAAGGATAATGACATACGAAGAAAAGCAAAATGGTTTTGTACCGACTTCATCTAATGGTTTTCTTCCGATCAACGTAAGTAAATAACAAGATAGTGACTATATTCGTCACATAGGTTACAATGTTTGGGGTAAATATATATCCGGTGTTGTAATAATTTATTATTGTAATGTTGTAATAGCATTGCCAGATCAATTCACGTGAGTCGGCTACTATGGAAACCTAAGCCACGCCCTGAGTGCATATTTGTACGCTTAATCGATATTAATATTATTGTAATATCATAGGCTTATAAAGTGTATCAGCAAATGTAAAAAAGAAACTAATGGAGAATATATAAACACGCACGAACATACGAATGTAATATTAACAATAATATTTACCAGTCTCTCCCAAGTCATTACTCGCAGTCACAATGATGTATTTTTACAAAGTTTAATAACTGTAATGTGTATGAATACTATTTACTATGATTATTTTTGTTTGATTTTATGTTTCATTAGAAGTTAGAAACAACAATTCCCATAACTACTGTAGATGCAGACTATGAATAATAGTTGTAGACAAGAGCTTGAACACCAATGCCTTCTAAGTTTTAGTTCTACTAATTTGTAGTTTTAACTTATAAGTATATTATAATTTTTTTTAGTTGTAACCTATTTTTGCATCTCCCATTTGGATCTTGTGAACAGAGATTACAACTGAAAAACATTGTATATGTACCATAATATGAGTGATATTTCTTTAATGTTAGATATCTATTTTATAATAAAGTACCTTTTACCAGACACACATTGTAAATTGCACCAAAGTTTTATTTTTCTGTATTATGAAACCATTTTTATGTGGTCCTGCTGTTGGCATTTAATACTCTTCAGTTTTGCTCTCTTTCCTTTTGATTCAAAAATCAACATGACTTTTGTGTAATATGATGTGTATTAAATATCTTTATATAAATCCTTTTTCCAAAATTTTTATGATTAGAAAGATAAGTGCACCTCTACTAACAAAAAAGATGGGTATATGTACAGTTTTATTGTATAATGTATAAAAAAGGCAGTTGTTTATATTTTCTTTGCTAATTCGGTTTTAAAACTGCTATTGCATAACCAAGTGATAACAATCATAACCAAGATAAATGTGTCAGTAGTGAGGTTATCACTTAAGATTGAAAGCACCAAGATAAAAGTAACTGCTGTTAAACTTGACAAAAGTGAGTAACATAGAACTGTAAGTTATGTAACAGTTTTACAAGGAATTAAGAAAAAAAAGTATAATATCAAAGTTGCATCTTAGTACAAAAAGAATGGTTTAAGTGTGAATGAATTGTTAAACTATTCAAACAGAAATCTGTACTAAGTCATACAGTTGATATGTTTAAGCATGTTGTTATCACAGTGTGAGATATTCAATGCGTAAATACAGTTTTTTCATGTGACAACTTCAGTATGTAAGATTTTTACATAATGATTTATAATTAATTATGAATTTCTCTTTATATATATATATAAGTTAAGGACAACAAGGGACTTGTTGGTCCATCTAAGCTGTTCATTCATGATAATAAACTTGAACATAACACACAGAGTTAGTCCTTATTCTTTAAATATTTATCAAGCCTTTTCTTAAATAAAGTACCTCTACTACATCTGAAGGCAGTTCATTAAAAAGGCCAACCACCTTAGAAAAATATAGTTGTCTTAGCAGAAGTACAGAAGTTTTATTAATAGACGATTAAGCTGTTATTATAGTAATGCTAGAAGTGTAGGAAATAAAATGGATGACTTCATAGCACTAGTTGTAACTAGTTGTTTAACACATTTACTAACACTTCTAGGTTAACCTTTAAATAAGGTAGGGGCTAGCTTGTTTGCAACGACTACTAACTCAACTGTAACAGCAACTTTAAATGAGGACTAGAAAGTGGTGAGGGTCAGAACAATAAAGAGAAAATAAGAGGTAGAGAAAATTATCGTGTACGAACGAAGTACAGAAGTGTTATTAATAGAAGGTTAAGCTGTTGTTATGGTAATGCTAGAAGTGTAGGAAATAAAGTGGATGACTTCATAGCACTAATTGTAATGGAGGATTTTGATGTAATGGAAAGAACCAAAACTTGATTAAATATAGACAGTTTTGGTGACAGGAATTTCTTTTAAATATGGGGTTTAGGTTATTTAATAGGGATAGACCTATACATGTAAAGTTACATTATGTTCAAGTTGAGGATAGCAATGCTAATTACAATGAGGTTGATTTTGTTTGAGGTTGTTAGTTGTTATAAGAGGAGAAGGCTTTCAGCTAGAATTTGTTATAGGCCACCAGATGAAATTAATGAGAAAGTCTACAGTGATATAAAAAATTCAGCTGTTAATGAAATCATAATTATTGGAGATTTTAATTTCACAATGCCATTTTATATTTATTTTTTAACTTCTAATATTGAATTGGTTCATAGGGTGGAAACTGTGGAACATCTAAGTGAAAGTGATCATTGCTCAATTAGGTTTTAGGTTTTCTGTATATTCATCAAATTTTTATTCAGAGTTATTTGAAAACCTAAGTAAACTAAGCCACACCCCTTTCAATCATCCAGATTATGTATTACACCCTCAAAAAAGATAACGGATTAGTAACGTAAGATTTCCCATTGGTGAATACATTTTAATTTCCTCTAATGATATCCTCTTGTTATGAATGATTTTGTAGTTTCTAGAATTTTTCCCACTATGGAAGTAAGGTGTTCTATAACTTCAAGAGTCTTGCATCTGAAAGCAAAAAATGCTAGATTAGTTTGTTGCACATTCTGAATATCATAGTTACTTCTTCACAGTGAAACTTTGAAATAGATTATAACAAACTTATTAAATCAGAGAAGAAAATTAAAAGTAATACAGATAAAAACTAAGACTGGCCATATGTTTTCAGTTTACCCATTATTTGAACCTTCATTGTATTATTATATTTTAACTATCATAGCTAATCCTTGACTATTTATCATTCCATAATAATTTCAAACATAAGACTCGCATTAGAGATTATTTACTTATGTTCTGTAGTAGAAATGTTTGTTCCTTATTTAATTTTCTTTTAAAATTATAAAAAAATATGATTAAACTACACATAATTTGGCATCATAATGTGTTGAAAGTAAGAAACCACTAATTTATTATCAAGATATTTGGTAGTAATGTGCAAATAATAAAATTGTAGCTCTTGATCCCTTACATGTAGTATTTAGTGCATTGTAAAGACTAGCTCCTATAGTGTGTAGTAGGTTGAAATGATTCTTAATAAGCACAGTGTGAACATCTAGTTGTGGCTTTTGATATGGATAAATTATGAAAGTTTAAAGGTAACGTGGATGTTAAAAAATAGTACTTATTTTCTTCTTATTCAGTTGTTATATGTAGTGAGGTATGCAAGTTATGTAAAAATAGTAAATTTTATAAGTTGTACTTAAATACTTTTGTTAAATTGAAGTCAAATTAAATGTAAAGAAAACATATATGTTAATGCAAATAACTGAGAAAAAAGTCTTTCAACCTGTCTAGTGTAAGTATTCATCTCCGAATCAAATGTAGTTTTCATATCAATGTATCCAGTGAAGATTTAGAAATAACAACATACCACATTAAAGAACTTAATTCACAACTGTGTAATGTTTACCAAAAATTTTTATCTGGAAAATAATTCTGCATCTAGGCCTTTCAAGTTGAAAGTTCTTATCCAAAATGTTCAGTTTTCTACTTGTTATATTTTCATTCCACTATTCAGACATCTACCATACACATGATGTTTAAGCAGTTCTTTACTCACCACATTAAACCATATTTATGTAGGCATGTAAAGAATATGAAGCATTTATTTAACATTACTAATTTTTCCTTCTAATTATTCAGTAGAGAAGTTATTTCCAATAGGATACCTCCTCCATTTACATAATAGCTTTTCTTGATTATTACTGCCCTCTATATGGGAAATTTTTGCTCACCACTAGCCTTGATACTTCCACTTATTTCCATATGTTTTGATACTGCTGCACTGTAACATGCAAATAAGCATGCACCTACCCTCCACTAATAGGATTGTAACACAGCTGGATCCCTCTATGTTGTACAACCCAATATTCACTTCTCAATTTAGCACAGTAGTGTTAAGACGTGTTCACATTTTCACTTGAGTTTTAACGTTTTTCATGCTTTTTATCCGAGTTGATTTTTGCTAAAATTTTTACATTTAAGAAAGAACAGTATATTTATTTTGTCTTTACTCCAGTTGAACATGCATTCTGAATTTCATATTACTACAGCATTTTAACCTGCTGTATCTCAATCTTCAAGCCCTCTGCTTTCAGCTGAGGAGGTCTCAGTTTTAGATGGGAGTTAGAGTCCATCATGGCTAAGTCTCCCAAGCCCAAACCTGACATTTTTTTGTCTGGTGAATTTGGGCAAGTTAAGAACAATTTGGATATCCATTTTTCTGCCTCCTTCCTGGGCCACAATCTGTGGGTCATGGTTTCAAATCCCTGTTCCACCAAACATGCTTGCCCTTTGATCTGTGGGGCATTATAATGTGATGGTCAATCCCACTATTCATTGGTAAAAGAGTAGCCCAAGAGTTGGCAGTGGGTGGTGATGAATAGCTGCCTTCCCTCTAGTCTTCCACTGCTACATTAGGGATGGCTAGTGCAGATAGCCCTCGTATAGCTTTGCAGAAAATTCAAAACAAACCAAACCTCTCTAGATGTGGTGCCACAGGTATGTTACCTGTTTATTTGTCTCTCATGTTGCATGTTATTTCTCTACTTCCCTCCTACATTTCACTCGTTCCTAGGATTACCTTCTTTTTCTTTCCTTTTCCAGCTATCGGGATCCATGCTGGCCAATTTCTGATGCATTTGGGGAGTGGGGCAGCAGTTTTTCATACTTAGAATCTTTGCTGTTGGAGTCTTTGAATCATGTATGGGGTTTGACCCTGATTCTTCTGTAAGGTACTCCTATACCCAATTGTCCCAACTCTATTTGAATCTTACCAAACTCCTCCATTGCCTATTTTACATTCATCTGCTTTTT